TATTGCAGATATTGTCCATAAAGACATTGAACATAGTATATAACCTGCTAAAAAGCTTATGTCGAATTTGAAGCGACAAACAGACCAATGTCCCTGTGCGAGACTTATCTGATAGCTGGCATACACAGGTTGGGCAATAAGCCCTACACACAGATCGGTGGTCGCTAAGCTTCGGAGAAGGAGCTTGGACGGCGGATGCAGCGAAGACTCCTTGTGTAAGGCAAGGAGTATCAGAGTATTTTCAAGAATTGCAGTAATGGACAGAAATATATTAATAACTGCGAGATAGACTACCTGAGCGGGTACTGTTCCGTTTGTTACTGCGGCTGAGCAGATTAACTGTCCAAGTGTTTTCTGCTGTTCATCTCCAGTTAAGTTTAAAAACGATGTCGACATGTCGAGGCGAAAGTTTGATGTTTCCTAAACTGCCTGCAATAAAATTGATTTTTCCCTACTGCTTCAACAAAATCTTACATTGAAAATATTTAATTCTTCGAGAGGGATGTTGACTTTTCTGGTTGGAGAACTACTTAAATTCACTAGTTCCTGATATTGATCTGACATTTATCTGTCATATTTTGATGGGAAATTTTAGATCCTGTCCTTCAACGATCTTAAGACGGCTCTGTAGTCATGCTTATGCTTAAAATAAGAACATCTTTTTTCAATTTTCCCGTAGGAGCCGAAACAGTCTCTGCCAACAATTCTCGCGCGGCATCCCGTTTCGGAATCGCTCGTGCAGATTACGTCCACGTACCCGGCGATGTGCATCTGTCAGCAAGCTGTGTGATTCCGTATTTTCCTCCATCAGGTTTAATTACTTAAGCGGTCCCTTCTTAGTCCTTTTATTTAAATAACGTGTGAAATACTCTTAGAACTTTCCATCATTATGCTTAACAAGTCAGTTAATTTGAATCGACTCAAAACAATGGATCAAACATAAATCAACTTGTTCTTTTCACCACTTGCATTTCGCTATGCTAAATTTCATCTTTTTGATAGAAGATAAAGAATGGAAATAAATTCAGTTAACCTAAGAACTAAGAATGCTAGGTTCCCTTAAAATGAATTCTTTTTTAAATCTTAAATCCATCACAAATATTCAAAACTCATTAATGATAAAAAATATTTCATCGTAATTTTTTTTCTGATATCTTCACAATAGCAACTCTTGCTACTTTTTTCTTTCCATTTATTCACATTTACGCACTTCATTTTTCCGAAAAAGCATCCCATTATCTATTGCAAAAAGGTAGATGTTTTCGTTTTTTTTTTCTTCTTGATCTCCCTGTCACTTCTTGATTTTTAGTGACAGTTATATTCACAAGGCCATTAGTTGATCTAGTGCTCATGACTGCTAGTTTCCTGTATCTATCTGCTGATGTCATTTATTATTGGTGAGAACAAAAGAAGGCATTTATACAATTTTTTTCCTCGTAAATACGCAGCTTGCACGTTCACAATTCTTTGAACAGCTGCCCCATGGGAGTCATTTGTATCAACGAAAATGCTCTCATATTTAAGATTCGTTTGAAATATCCCATTGTTCGTCCATTGTCTCTTTCGTTGCAGTTTGAGTCGTTTAAAACGGACAACCAAGTGCTGATTCGTTACTGATTAACAGCAACGGAGCGCTTTAACGGCCGGTCCTTTTCACACTAGAACTGGAATCTCTTAAAACCCTAAAATCCAAGTTCGGATTGTCGATTCTCCTTTCTAGCTTCTACACAATTACTTGTTAATACGTCATGAGAATTTGGTGTTTTATCAAGATAACAGCTTCAATCTGATAAGTTTGAATATTCTCATTACCTGTTTACTGGATATTGTATGGATATTATGGGGAGAGGTTATATATCAATCACTTCTGAGAGTTAAGGGGTTAACACATCCTCGTTTAATTGATTTCTGAGATCGGTTTTTTTTCCACCCAAACTTTTTGTCTTTTTGATATTAATTATGTTTCGTGGTTACCATTTTTTTTAATTCAGTTTTTGGTTTCTTAACCCTTTAACTCCCCAGATCTGATTGTTAATTCTCCCCTCTAGCTGCTACACATGTCCATGTAGATAAGTTGCGAGAATTTGGTTTTAGACCAAGATAACAACTTCTACCTGATATATTTGAGTGTTCTCATTACCTGTTTGCTGGATGGTGCATGGATATTATAGGGAGAAGTTACTTGTTAATCACTTCTGGGAGTTAAAGGGTTAAAAGAATACGCTGGTACTTCAAAAGAATACAACCTAAAATCAGCTTTTATCACGATATTTTTCGATCAATGAATTTCTTAAATTTGGATGAAAATTCAGTGTTTTTATTCTTTTGGTTTCTAATTCCCGTCCTCCTAATTGTGGTTTTATTGAGACCACTTGTTAGAGTCATTTAGATAATCACTGAGTCATCAAAACAGCAGAAAAGTTTGCTAAGAAAGTTGCAAACTTTTCATGGGCTAAATTAAACTTGACAACGTAATTAAACGCCAATCGCTGTCTTGTCTTCGTTGTGAGTGGTGTCAATCAAAGGCAATCAATATTAATGCATTAGGTAATGGATGGATGAGTAAAAAATATTGTTTCGATTAAAGACAATTGAATTTAGCGAAATTTGGATCGTAGGTCCTCATGGACTAAAACTCCCGAGCGGCCTGTAGGGTAAAGAGCAGGTGTCGTTGAACATGAATCAAATTTGGTGGCATAGGCTCGAAAATTCTTTATAACCTCTGCAAAGCCCCAGGATAAGGACGAATGTGATTTTCGATCCCTTTACGGATGAGGCTGACTTGGTTCTGTGATATGAAGCTGAGAAACATAACGCTAAACAAAGTTATAAGATCCTCATATAGTTTTCAAAGAATATTTTTCAAAAGATAGTTAAGTTATTTTAGAGACAGTAGACGCTTCTAATTTAATTTTGTGGTACAGCAAACAGGTATACCGTTAAATTTTTTTCCTTCCGTAGGATGCCATACACTAAGAAGGGTATTCCACTTAACAATAGCCCTATCATATCTTCTTGTACAAGGGATATCGACATCAAAACCAATTTATACTTAACCCTTTCACTCCCAAGATCTCATTTGTAATTCTCCTCACAGTCTTCCATACAATGCTTGTGAGCTTCGTGTGGAGAATTTGGTTTTGGATCAACTAAAACCAATTTGTTCTTAACCCTTTCATTCCCAAGATCTCGACAAGGGACCTCATCTAGTTTTCAAGGAATATTTTTCAAAAGATAGTTAAGTTATTTTAGAGACAGTAGACGCTTCTAATTTAATTTTGTGGTACAGCAAACAGGTATACTGTTAAATTTTTTTCCTTCCGTAGGGTGCCTTACACTAAGAAGGGTATTCCACTAAACAATAGCCCTGACATACCTTCTTGGACAAGAGATATCGACATCAATACCAATTTGTACTTAACCCTTTCACTCCCAAGATCTCATTTGTAATTCTCCTCACAGTCTTCCATACAATGCTTGTGAGCTTCGTGTGGAGAATTTGGTTTTGGATCAACTAATAACGTTTTTCTTTATTCTCGTCACGTGTCTTCTTGATATTGTAATATTATTTTAAACAGCATTTCTATCTTGATTACTCGTGGGAGTCAAAAGGTTACACGAGGACTCCTCTCTGGCTCTCAGCGAGACCAAGTTTTGGATCTGTAACCATAACTGTTAATATTTGTCAGAACAAAAAAAAAAGAGTCGCGTGATTTCCGAAGGCTACCAAATTTGGCGTACAGGAAGTGAGAAGATCAAGCTTTCTTTGGGATACAGTCTATCAAATAAACGACGTGGTCACTTCATGACTGTGTAATCCACATAGCAAACAAACCGGCGGTCGACGGCGGAAGCCCTTCAATGGAAATTCAACTCCAGTGTGAATATTGCCGATCATATGAACACCTTGAAATGTTAAGCAGTTAACAACCATTTCAGTGTCATTTTCTACCTTTGAATTTGTACATGACCGAAATGATTGATCAAATTTGGATTTATGATGTAAGAAAAACCACACACATACACATGCAAACTCTATGCCGGAAATAGCCATGATGTAGGTCTTGGCTTCCACGAGTTTGTCTTACAACACATTTGATTAGAGGCTTTGCTCACGAAACAGAAATCAACGAAAACGACAGATCCTGTTACATTGCATAGTACATTGACTCTCTTCTTATTGTCTGCATACATAATTTTACCACTTTGTATTTTCAAATTGTCAAGACTTTGCAGAGTGGAGATGTGATTATGGAGACGTGTCTACAAAAAATGTTAATCAGTGTTACATAATATGTAACAATAACTGCTTTATGGCTTTTTCAGCGACATCTCTACTGGAGTCACGAAGGCTGAATTATCTAACTTCAAAGAGTGATTAAGTTGAGAAACTGAATCTATACATATACCAAAGGTAATAGACTAGAGGTATATCTAGTCGTCACGAAGATCATGTTTTACCGACACGTTGTTTACATGCTATCGGCGTAAATGTTTACATCGAGAAATAATGAAATTGAAAACGGTGAGTATGGTTTTTTCGAATATCATAGGATGTTTGCTTTAGTTTCCACCACCATGAAAGCTAATACTGTCTACATTCGTGTTAATTAAAAAATATCAGAAATTCAAAGAAATGTTTTAAGACGCTAAAATTACGCCTGATTACGACGAATGAGCTACTATTTCTTCAATACAAATGAAGCCTCCGATTTATGCTGTTTACTAAAATATTCAACGGTGGTTCCGAGGGGAATAATCTAAAGTGGTTTTTAGAAAAGAGTCAACTCAATTTTCCTTCGTCAAAAAAGACATTTTTAATTAAGAATTCCATTAAGAGTAGAGATTCTCATATTCACCTGCTCAAAGATAAACAATCTAATAATGACATGTTTAAGCGTTAAAATTGCGCGAAGACCAATAAGCAGATAGCTCACAATGATATATAACTCCAAATTGAGTATACAAAAACTTATTAAATCATTTCTGTCGCTTAAATCATGACGGTTGACCGAAACATTTCTGAAGATGGTAAGGAGGAAACTTATGAGCGGTTGTTTTGCTCTCAGGAATTAACTACAGGAATACACGGCTATTTGATATTTCTTTCGGTGTTCAATTTCTTGCTGGCCATTTGTTCATCTCTGGGTAATATTCTGATCCTCATTGCCCTTTATAAAGAGACATCTCTTCACGCGCCGTCCAAACTGTTTCTCAGATCCCTGGCTACAACTGATCTCCTCGTTGGTGTCATTTCTGAGCCTCTAACCATCACGTACTGGATTTCAGCGGTGAGAAAACGATGGGATGAATGTTATAACACGTTTTTTACCAGTATCATCGTGGGGTATCTCCTCTGTGGCATATCTTTGTTGACAATGACTGCAATAAGCGTGGACAGACTTCTTGCTTTGTCATTAAGGGTAAGATATAAACAAATTGTGACGCTGAACAGGGCACGAGCAATCGTTCTTGTATTCTGGATTTTTTGTGCTGTATGCTCCGTGATGCATGCGCATGATTCTCGTATCACAACATGGTACACCCACATAACAATACCTGTTTGTTTTGTAACCTCAATTTTGTCTTACACGACGATTTTTTGGAAACTCCACCGCCATGAAATTCAGGTACGTGGCAACATTATCCAACCTGAGCAGTCAAGCAACTCAAGTTCAGGGCCACTGCATATTTCTCGATATAGGAAGGGAGTGTTCAGTGTAATGTGCCTACAGTTAGCAGTTGCTGTTTGTTATCTTCCACATGGTATAACTACAGCTTTGTGGACCTATAGTGGACGGTCATCGTCTGTTACTGTGCTAAGACAATTTACAGTAACTCTAGTTTACGTAAATTCAGCTCTAAACCCGTTACTTTACTGCTGGAAGATCAGAGAAGTGAGACAATCGGTTAAAGATATAATCAGAGAAATACTTTTCTGTTAATAAATTACAAGGCTGGGGCCTGGAAGAGCTTATAGTTAGCTTATAGAATTGATGATGGCTTAAGCTTTTCTGAGAGCTAGGCGCACTTTCGGTAAAAGAAATTCTTCCTTTTGTAAAATTTCCAGTTCTTTCGATGCCTTCTTACCACGATTGGAGCAGCCGTTATTCAGTCTGAAACAATATCAATTTCCGGCATCAATTTGACTTGCGCAAGCAGTGACTGTCAAAATGAACAGATGCCGTATAAAAAAAATAGACAATTATAATTTCGATATGCTAATATAGTATAATAAAGGCTAATAGTTCAGTTTTTTTTTGTTTGGAATTGTGGTCTCTGCCAACCACTTTTCTTTTTTGCTAATTTTGGTGATAGACTTAGTTTGTCTCGACAAAACTTGAACTGGAAAACCCACACCTCTTGCAAGGAGTATTGTGAACTTATCTCCCAATGTTGCTGTCTGCTTATAATTTCTGACTAAGATTTTAATCCATAAGGTAAAAAACTCTTGGGTTCTCTTACGACCATTTCCTTTAATTGCACTTAAAAGGCGAGGCAGCTATTTCGAAATTTAGCGCTCTTGCTATAATCACCTTGCGCGAGGTAATTATAGTTAGGTACGATTCAACCCTCGACCAATCTGAGTGTGACCAGTCTAGGTGAAAATGTTGCGTGTGACACCGAATCTTGTTCTCTAGATGGTAGAGTGTATTCAGACCGTGGACATTCTTTTTAAAACTCGTGAACATTGGTTTAAAGAAAGTCAAGAAAAGCAATGCCCCTTTCCCCATAATATATTCGAGGTAGAAAAGCTTTCCACACAAATTAGCGAAAAACACTTTGATATTAGGCGAGACCGCAGTTGAGCAAAACGCAAATACTAGAGCAATCTATCATACAGGGATTGACGAAATAACAGTATTTGTCCAACTTCGAAAACATGACAACTTCACCTGGTGCAGTTGGCGTATCATTATATCGTTACCTGAGAAGATATCAGTGTTATTATGATAACTGTGTTTATCAACATGGTGGCGAAACACTCCACGACGATTTTCTTTTTTCAATTTATCAATGTTGCTAGGATTGAATTCAACTCTTTTAATGGCAAGACATCATTTTTACAAGCAATTGTTTTGTTTTCGAGTTAGAAATGAAAGCAGTTTTCTTGCAGGTGATCTCTTCATTCAGCGTTGTTAAAATGTGTTTTAAAGTGGTACTTCATCTAAACATAATATCTATAAAATAAACAGAACTTTACAGGTCTGCACGTGGATAAGAAATAATCTTCTCCCGTTGATGACACATCTGATAAGTTCGCTTCAATCACTCGTGAGAAATATTATTAACATTTGTGGTTGAAATTCAAATCCAAGCTCTGCACGTAATATGCCCTTTTTTCCATCAGCTAGGTATATATTGAAATTAGCAGTGTCAATTATGGGAAAGAACAGCTGCCCTTTTGCTAAATTCTATAAGGTGTCTGTTAGCACTTTAAGGACAATTTTCTAGCCTTTAAATTAATTAGCAGCAAAGTGTTCGTCTGAGTAGTTCCTTAATTTGATAAAATTTCACAGGCAGAAAAGTAGCCACAAACATTATGAATAAATAAGTCAAATACGCATGTACTTGAGTTTGTAGCGAATATTTCCAGCTGCATCATAATATAATAACCTGAACTTTAAGTCATAAGACACATTTTTGTGTTCTGACATAAGTATCCACTGGAACAGGCGCACAAGAAGGCCAGTGACCTTCATTTATATTTCAGTCTGTGACAAGTTAATAAACTACAACATTGAAGCAATCATCGAATACGACTTTATGTAGGATTTGCAAGTTAAGACACGTATGAACTCGTATGAGCTGTAGTACTCCTACCAATATACTATTATAAATTTCTCTTTCTTTTGCTTTTGCATCTGAAAGCTTTAAATAGGAACTATTTTCTTAAACAGCATTTAGTTTTAATTGTATTCTTCACTGCTTGTCTCACTTCTGTGATTTTCCAGCAATAAAGAATCGGATTCATGGATGAGTGTTAGTTTACCAATGTCCCTGTAGGTTGCCTAACAAAGCAAATTAATGAAGGCCGTTCGCTATGAGTAAATAAAGCCTCCACTACACCGTGGGGCAGATAGCACTTGCCACTGCTTTCCTGCATCGAGACATGTTCAGTGGAATTCATAAGAAATTGTTTGGTTATGTTGATCATACTGTGGATGAAGTACTGTCTGTACCTGCGTTTGATGATGACAATGAGTGAAGAAGATCCAGGTATAATTGAAGACGGATATCAATACGCAAAGAGGAATCGCTACATTGCTGCACCATACTGCGATGAGAGAATTCCAAAACTACATCGCACCATTAAGAAAGCATACGAACTAAATTATAGATGTAGCGACAACTGTATGCTTTAGGGCCTATTTACATAGAGGTGGAGGCTCAGGTAGGTGAGGTGACCCGCCTGTTCATATAATCTCTTGTTTTATCTTGATCACGTATACATGATAGGTGGGGTGACCTGTCCAGATGAGTTGCCCGGTCTGCTGAGTAGGGTAACCCTGTCAGCCGGGATGACAATTTGCCATGTAAACGTCTCAAAGTGGGGTAATCGCCTAGCCAAGGTGGCTTCCTGTTGCCTAAATCGATAAGGCGAAAGTGAAATTATCTTGTTATGCAACAAAATTTAGCTCGGCGAAGAAGGCATCCGCCTGAAATATTCATTTTTGGAACTTAAGGGATGAGGTTGTAGTTTATAACGTCATTTATGTTTTCCTATCATAACCGCTTACTTCCGCCTTCATTTCTCAATCTATCTGTCACCAATAACAGCATACATTCGTATAACACCAGGTAAGGCACTGACTATCGATATCATCAATTTCGAAGCAATGTTAAATATTTTTTTGTGTTTTTCAAGGACCAAAAATTTGGAATTCCTTACCTCATTAGGCATTCTGAAACTTTCTTTTCTTTTGAAAGACGTCTTTAAGGTCTTTTGCTAAATGGACTGATATACTGATAATCAAGATTGATGGTTTGCCAAAAGAAATGTTACCAATGAACGCGTATCGCCCACAAATACATTTTCTTTGGTAAGTGAGGAGGCCTCCCTCGTATAGGCCCCGTGGTTTCTGGAGGGCCCCCCTTCCATCTACTAAACTATTTTTTTACAAGAATTATAAACTTATAGAAATTCGAACAGGATGCAACAAAACTGATGTTAATGAAGCGATTAACAGTTTGGATCCCAGCTGCGATGGGGTATCAAATACTGTCTTAGTTCATTTGAGTATGTCAGGTTATGGTAAGATTCTACTGTAGCAATGACGCCAAAATATCACTTAAGTACACCAAGGTTTATGCAAACGGTCATAACTATAAGGGTTCACACTGAAATTAGAATTGTGTAAAACATTTTCTGATCCAAAAAGTGATTTGAATCAAAATACAAAATGACTTGCAAGGGAAAACTGATATTGAAAACATAAACCACGCACGCCCAAATCCTGCCAAATACTCTGCAGTCCGGGTCATAACCATTTCTGGATACTTGATGACGTCATTAATATGGATGTCGTGGTGGGACCTCGAGGAAACTCATTCATTACTTTATTCGAGCTCTAGCGACTTTGTTCCCTTGCCATATCCCATGAAACCTTTCAAAATTACGGAAGACAAGCAATTACACACAACAAGCAAATAATTGATGGCGGTAGCGATGACGAGACAGAAAAATTCAGATGAAAAGTCGAGTGGAGGTGCTTGTGGCGAAGGGTTCGATCGAGGAATAACCTCTCTTCAGTTGAGGTTTTCAGGTATGCAACATTTTTTTTAATTCATAGAAAAAAATCTTTTAAAAACTTGAATAAATTTGCTTCCAATTTGTCAAAATTCCAATCGAGTGCACGAGGTTTTTGCTTGAGTGCACGGATGTTGAAAGTCTGTTAGTGTGCAAACTACTTAGCATATTCCTTTGTTCCGATCCATCGGAGTATCGTGTAAACCATAAATTTTAAGCAGACGTTGTGGCCGGGCAATTTTAAGTAAAAGGACAATTAGTTATCGGACCTTTATAATATAAGTCTACATTGTGAATTTCAGATCACGCCAATAGCATGGATGAACACATTCAATATCTCGAGACACTTTGTCGTCTTTGTGGTACAAATCTTCCGCGGACCAGGGTCAGTGCTGCAAACAAAGAATCTTTTAAATCGGAGCTCTGGATGAAATTACGAATCAATATCGATCTTGACAGCAGAGAGATTCATCCATCCTCAATCCACTTGGGGTGCAAGCGATTTCTATATAGAGTTCGCGGATGCACACTAAAAAATAATTTCAGGAAGTCACGGATATTACACATAAACGTGGTGAACCAGCGAGTAAGTTCTCCTTCGGGCAAACATAAAACAATGAGGTATTTGTTCACTGGGCTCTCACATCTTCAGGTATCGTATCCGGGAAATGTGCGATAAGAGCGGCATGAAGATGAAAATAAAGAAATCACATTGGTGGAAGGCCTTGCCGAAGTTTCTCTATTGACAGCATTCCGGAAAGAAAGGTTGTGTTTTAACTACACGAACTGATGAAAGTGAAATTTTCGTCTACAACCACGAGGGACTTGACTGTAATTGCGAACTCGTTTAAAAACACCGCACGTGCTCTCACATTTTGCAGTGATGGACTAATACAAAATTTCTATACATAGTGTTCAAATCAAAGAGTATGTGTAAAGGATATATTTATTCTGACTAAAAGCTATAGGACCGAATTTGTAGTGTAGATTCTCCCGCGAATCGATCGATATCGCGCAAAATACCCTGTACGATTCTCTTGCGTTGAATTCGATCATGTGTATTCGTCTTAAAATAGATTGTGACTACTTGCTTTTATTTTAGCCCACTCATGTGTTTATTGGCGTTTATTTTCCAGGTATCATCATTTCAAGATCAAAGTTCCACGTGGAACACCGCATGTTCTTCAAAGTGAAGACGACAACACGTATGACTGCATGCACTGGCTTGTCTTCTTCCACGAGAAATGGAACGCATTCCAGAGGCTTTACGAGAAGTCCAGATTTTCAGTAAATCGCAGAGAAAGACATACACTTTAGAAGATGTCAAAGGGCAGCAGATCGGCAGGGTTCAGCGCTTCCTAAACATACCGCTGCATGGTTTGTTCCGATGTGGCAAAATAACCAGGATTGAAGGGTAAGTTACTGTTTTCTTGCTTTAATGTTACTTTTTTTGTAAAGACTTGATGGACTGAAATTGATACGTGCCTATTTAAAAATAGGAGAAGAGAAGGAAGATATTATCTTTCCTCGATCTATACTGGAGAGAAATGAATTTATCCCGATTCCGCGATCTCACGCCTCTCTCGTCCCTGTTGTTATCGGTGCGCGTTATTTGGTTCAACCTTGTTTTATTGGTTTTCATGTAACCCGAAATAGGGAAATCAACGGAGAACCGATAGTAACATCGAGGCAAAGCTCTACCCAGAAGTTCTCCAGATACAAACAGGCGGGCGGAGGAGCTTTTATTCCTGCAACACTCTTGGTGGAAGGACCACAGCGTCGCAAAGAATTTGTGCTGGAAAGAATCCGCTGTACTCTTCCAGAATGCGAGAATGTCGAGGACAAGCATTTGGAATATTTGAAATAAATGAATACTTTTAATGGTCTCTTACCTCCAGTCTTTATCAGCGAATTTTGTTTCGGCGTACTTTTTTTGTACTTTACTTTTGTTGATGTTATCATTTTTCCTTTGTTGTTGGAAACTCGTCCCTGACAGCCTAGTCGTTAATTGTTTTGTATGGACTTATTTTGGAATGAAATTGCATTTGGGCAGAGAAGAACTTTTACTTTACTTTTTATCTGCTTTTTATCATCCTCACTCGTCTATTTTACGCTAAAATAACAAATGTCTTCAGAGACATTTTTCGACAGTAATATCAACAGCTACCGGCATTTTTCATAAATTTTTTTTATTACATGTACAACAAAAATGCATTTGTTGAATCGTGACGAAGTGGGTTACGGTTATTTGATTCGGAACCCGGGCAGTAACTGGTAACTTTCAGACCTTTTTCATGAAAGTGAACGAGAGACCATGAAGTTGAGTCTCTCGTAGAAAGACTGTTGAGAGCAGGGAAAGCTTTCAAGCTTATTATGATGAAGGACGAATGAACACCTGCATCGAAAGAGATTGCAACAGGAGTGACATGCAATTACAGCGAATTGTTCCGACATTTCCTTCTTTTCTTTTTTTGTTTCTTTTAATTTTTTTTTCCGGTGGCGTTTTGCGCTTCTGTTTAAGGTTGGAAGCATATGTCTGACAGAGGAAAAGCATTCTTGAAAATGTCAACTAGGAAAAGAGACATTTATTTTGCCAAAATAGAACTCATTAGTTCCTAGCTTGACGCTGTGGTTTTTTTAACAGCTAAAATTTGCCTTGAAAGAGGTTTACACTTAGCTGTTTTGCTGTGTTTATGCCGCTCTCAGATTTAGAGGCGCTGTTTACAATGTGGAAAATGAACTGAAGGTTCTAGGTTAACCCTCCAAGCCACTTCGACCGGTAGAACTACGATAACAGTCAACATGGTGTCATCAGCTCAGTAAAATCACCTGCTCAGAAGCTTCTGTTTTTATTATATATCACTCAGGTTGGACTGAATTCGAAGGCGCCAGTCGGAAGGAACTAAAATTACCTTTCACTTAAAATAAATGTAATGAACGGAGTTTGAATACATTGCACCTTTAGCTTAATCGTGAAATATTACCCGTGGTTCTGGTTTTATTAGCTCTAAATAGTAGATGTTACCATTTGCAGAAAATGGCGCAGATAAATGTTAGCTGGGATGGAATCCCAAAAACATTACTTGAAGAACAATGCGCTGCTGTTTTGAACTCAAGAATAAGCCATCAGCTGACCTGGCTCTTAGGACTAAACATTTTCTTGTCCATAACTGCAGTCCTGGGAAATACTCTGATCTTAGTCGCTCTTGGTCAGGAAATTTCACTACATGCACCGTCCAAACTTCTGTTACGCTGCCTATCGACAACTGATCTTTTGGTCGGGCTCTTGTCAGAGCCTATGTATGCTGCTTACGAAATGAGTTTGTTAAATGGAAGTTTGGAAACGTGCCGCCTTACTTTTGTTATCAGTTTCATAGCAGGTTATATCTTAAGTGGAGTATCTTTGTTTACATCGACAGCGATAAGCTTGGATAGGCTTCTTGCGCTATTAATGGGACTGAGGTACAAACTAGTTGTCACTTTGAAACGAGCACGTTTCACTGTCACTATAATTTGGATCGTAGGAGTTGTATGTTCTATACTGTACTTATGGAATGACCAGATACCTTTAACGTATGCGTACGTTTGCACTTTGATCTGTTTAGTAATCTCGGTTTTTTCTTACACAACAATTTTCGTCACCCTCCGACATCGGCAAACACAAGTTCAAGACCTTATTAACCAACACGCGAACCCACGAAGCCCAATGAACATAGCTTTCAATAGAAGAGCAGTGTCCAGTGCACTATGGCTACAGATAACCTTAGTGTGTTGTTACCTGCCACACGGAATTATGTCGGCCTTGCTGCGTCATAGTGAAGAATCCACAGCTGCCTCTTTCAACAGACATTATACAGGGACTCTTGTCTTCGCAAATTCGACTCTGAACCCGTTTATCTATTGCTTGACGATTAAGGAAGTTCGAAAAGTTGTCAGGGAAAAAATCAGCAACCTTCTGAATATTCAACCACAGAGAGTGCACAATCCATCAGCAACAGACCCGTAGGAGGGGAGGGGTGCAACGGGTACGTACGCACACTCCCACGGGCTGCGAAAGTCTTTTTACTAGCTTCCGGCGATTAAAAGAAAGCAAGTTATTACAAAAAAGGTTAAATCAAGATAATTGTAATACTTTCGTCCTGACTCGTTTATTTTGTAGTTTGAAATGGAACCTAATTAAATGAACTTTTTCATTTTAATACGTACGAAATGCAGTCTCATACGACCCAATTTTTCAAAATTTTCCGGAGGAGGATGTTACTCGTCAATAAGTGCCTTTGGCCTTCAAACCTCCCTTCCCCCCCTCTAATGCGAAAAAACCTGTTTACGAGTCTGGGCAAGGATGGAAATCACGCAACGTAGAACTTGCAACTCTGTACACTCATAATTCTGTTCTATCTCTGAAAGCACATCAGTGATGTCAACTGTCACCTCTTTGACCCTCTTCACTCTCCACCTCTCTTCAAAACACTTTCGCTTTCCCAGAATAAAGTCCATTTATTCTCCGCCAAAATTTGCGCTGACATTCCTCTGTTACTGCATGCGATCGGTTGATGATGACGCACATCGTAGAAACTTCACCCCAAACTTTAGATCAGGAAATTAAAAAACAGGGAACTTGGATAGAATTTCTTTCTCGTTCTCAATACAGGCTTTTGTTGACGAGCTTCATTTTGCACCACTGTTGAAATTTGACGCTAAGGCTAGAGTTGCTCGTGACTGATAACTCAATAAGATATCATTAATAAACATTATGGTAATAGGACCGAGTGGAGTTCAATTAGGCTTGTAATCAAACGAGTGATAACAAAATCGGACGACCGCGCAGCGGGAGTCCGATTTGTTTACCACAAGTATGATTACATACTTAATTGGACGACACAAAGTCTTTTTATTGATTAATCGTGAAAATGACAATTTCCGATTAAATAAGAATAGCCAAGTTACGAAGGAAAAGGGAAAATTTGCATTAAAGGACTGACAAAGGAGGCGTGATTTGTTTGATGTCGCTCTGAAATTGAATACAATCAAAATGAATGTGATTGGTTGATTTAAACTAGAACTTTGAATGTGATTGGCTTATTGAACTGTGCGATAACAACTTGGTAAGTAAATTAGTGAAAACCAATCACAATCGATGAAATTGTATTTTTTATGATTAAGAAATTTATAAAATATAAGTCATCGTTATGTTAAGAGCGCCCAAACTTTACTTTGATCTTCCCCTTACCAGTAATGATGACCTCTGATTCTCGAGATGTCAATCAACGACCACACCGAGTTATTTTAGGTTTCCTGCGTCATGAACAATGAGAATTCACGATCAAGTATTTCTTCGATTTACATGCCAAAAAGCCGATAGTATTATTTAATAAAGATGTACTCTTAAAGCTAGTGGGGCGGGCTAGAAAAAAATTGAAAAAACTGGTTAGGCATTGCCGATATGAGGATTGGTATGCGCTTGGGAATAATTGAAATGAGAAATGTTTGTCTCCAGGGGTTCCGCAATTGTCCGATTCTATTCCAAAATATGAATCGAATATCATTGGATGTTTGCTTTAGTTTCCACCACCATGAAAGCTAATACTGTCTACATTCGTGTTAATTCAAAAATATCAGAAATTCAAAGAAATGTTTTAAGACGCTAAAATTACGCCTGATTACGACGAATGAGCTACTATTTCTTCAATACAAATGAAGCCTCCGATTTATGCTGTTTACTAAAATATTCAACGGTGGTTCCGAGGGGAATAATCTAAAGTGGTTTTTAGAAAAGAGTCAACTCAATTTTCCTTCGTCAAAAAAGACATTTTTAATTAATAATTCCATTAAGAGTAGAGATTCTCAAATTCACCTGCTCTAAGATAAACAATCTGATAATGACATGTTTGAGCGTTAAAATTGCGCGAAGACCAATAAGCAGATAGCTCACAATGATATATAACTCCAAATTGAGTATACAAAAACTTATTAAATCATTTCTGTCGCTTAAATCATGACGATTTACCGAAACATTTCTGAAGATGGCAAAGAGGAAACTTACGAGCGGTTGTTTTGCTCTCAGGAATTAACTACAGGAATACACGGCTATTTGATATTTCTTTCAGTGTTCAATTTCTTGCTGGCCATTTTTTCATCTCTAGGTAATATTCTGATCCTGATTGCCCTTTATAAAGAGACATCTCTTCACGCGCCGTCCAAACTGTTTCTCCGATCCCTGGCTACAACTGATTTCCTCGTTGGTGTCATTTCTGAGCCTCTAACCATCACGTACTGGATTTCAGCGGTGAGAAAACGATGGGATGAATGTTATAACACGTTTTTTACCAGTATCATTGTGGGGTATCTCCTCTGTGGCATATCTTTGTTGACAATGACTGCAATAAGCGTGGACAGACTTCTTGCTTTGTCATTAAGGGTAAGATATAAACAAATTGTGACGCTGAACAGGGCACGAGCAATCGTTCTTGTATTCTGGATTTTTTGTGCTGTATGCTCCGTGATGCATGCGCATGATTCTCGTATCACAACATGGTACACCCACATAACAATACCTGTTTGTTTTGTAACCTCAATTTTGTCTTACACGACGATTTTTTGGAAACTCCACCGCCATGAAACTCAGGTACGTGGCAACATTATCCAACCTGAGCAGTCAAGCAACTCAAGTTCAGGGCCACTGCATATTTCTCGATATAGGAAAGGAGTGTTCAGTGAAATGTGCCTACAGTTAGCAGTTGCTGTTTGTTATCTTCCACATGGTATAACTACAGCTTTGTGGACCTATAGAGGACGGTCATCGTCTGTTACTGTGCTCAGACAATTTACAGTAACTCTAGTTTACGTAAATTCAGCACTAAACCCGTTACTTTACTGCTGGAAGATCAGAGAAGTGAGACAATCGGTTAAAGATATAATCAGAGAAATACTTTTCTGTTAATAAATTACAAGGCTGGGGCCTGGAAGAGCTTATAGTTAGCTTATAGAATTGATGATGGCTTAAGCTTTTCTGAGAGCTAGGCGCACTTTCGGTAAAAGAAATTCTTCCTTTTGTAAAATTTTCAGTTCTTTCGATGCCTTCTTACTACGATTGGAGCAGCCGTTATTCAGTCTGAAACAATATTAATTTCCGGCATCAATTTGACTTGCGCAAGCAGTGACTGTCAAAATGAACAGGTGCCGTATAGAAAAATTAGACAATTATAATTTCGATATACTAATATAGTATAATAAAGGCTAATAGTTCAGTTTTTTTTTGGAATTGTGGTCTCTGCCAACCACGTTTCTTTTTTGCTAATTTTTGTGATAGACTTAGTTTGTCTCGACAAAACTTGAACTGGAAAACCCACACCTCTTGCAAGGAGTATAGTGAACTTATCTCCCAATGTTGCTGTCTGCTTATAATTTCTGACTAAGATTTTAATCCATAAGGTAAAAAACTCTTGGGTTCTCTTACGACCATTTCCTTTAATTGCACTTAAAAGGCGAGGCAGCTATTTCGAAATTTAGCGCTCCTGCTATAATCACCTTGCGCGAGGTAATTATAGTTAGGTACGATTCAACCCTCGACCAATCTGAGTGTGACCAGTCTAGGTGAAAATGTTGCGTGTGACACCGAATCTTGTTCTCTAGATGGTAGAGTGTATTCAGACCGTGGACATTCTTTTTAAAACTCGTGAACATTAGTTTAAAGAAAGTCAAGAAAAGCAATGCCCCTTTCCCCATAATATATTCGAGGTAGAAAAGCTTTCCACACAAATTAGCGAAAAACACTTTGATATTAGGCGAGACCGCAGTTGAGCAAAACGCAAATACTAGAGCAATCTATAATACAGGGATTGACGAAATAACAGTATTTTTCCAACTTCGAAAACATGACAACTTCACCTGGTGCAGTTGGCGTATCATTATATCGTTACCTGAGAAGATATCAGTATTATTATGGTGACTGTGTTTATCAACATGGCGGCGAAACACTCCACGACGATTTTCTTTTTTCAATTTATCAATGTTGCTAGGATTGAATTCAACTCTTTTAATGGCAAGACATCATTTTTACAAGCAATTGTTTTGTTTTCGAGTTAGAAATGAAAGCAGTTTTCTTGCAGCTGATCTCTTCATTCGGCGTTGTTAAAATGTGTTTTAAAGTGGTACTTTATCTAAACATAATATCTATAAAATAAACAGAACTTTACAGGTCTGCACGTGGATAAGAAATAATCTTCTCCCGTTGATGACACATCTGATAAGTTCGCTTCAATCACTCGTGAGAAATATTATTAACATTTGTGGTTGAAATTCAAATCCAAGCACTGCACGTAATATGCCCTTTTTTCCATCAGCTAGGTATATATTGAAATTAGCAGTGTCAATTATGGGAAAGAACAGCTGCTCTTTTTGCTCAATTCTATAAGGTGGCTGTTAGCACTTTAAGGACAATTTTCTAGCCTTTAAATTAATTAGCAGCAAAGTGTTCGTCTGAGTAGTTCCTTCACCGATTGTCTCACCTCACTTATCTTCCAGCAGTAAAGCAACGGGTTTAGTGACGAGTTAAAGTAAACTAGAGTTATTGTAAATTGTCTGAGCACAATAATAGCCGACGACTGTTCACTATAGGTCCACAAAGCTGTGATTATACCATGTGGAAGATAACAAACAGCAACTGCCACCTGCAACCAAATTACGCCGGACACTCCTTTTCTATATTGAGATATGTTCAGTGCAGCAGAACTCGAGTTGCTTGATTGCTCTCGCTGAATGATGTTGCCGCGTACCTGGATTTCCTGGTGATGGAGTTCCCAAAAAATCTTTGTATAAGACGAAACTGAGGTGAAGAAGCTTACTGGTATAACTATATGGCTATACCATATTGTTATTCGGACGTTCTGCGCATACATCGCTGAAAAGATAATGGAAACAATCCAGAACATGATGACACATGCGCACGCCTTTTTCACAGTCACAACTTGTCTGTATCTCAGCCCTAATGTTAAGGCGAGCAGCCTA